GAGTTGATTAGCTGATTGGCATGTCACCATATTCTAATTTGTTGAGATAGTGAATTGGTGGGTTTTTGTTAAATGTGAGCCAAAATCATCACAATTAAAAGAACCAAAGACTTAAACTACTTCAGTCTGTGTGCATTGAATTTATTTAATAAACGAGTTTCACAATTTGAGTTGAATTACTGAAATAAATGAACTTTTCCACGACATTCTAATTTATTGAGATGCACCTGTATATTCTAAAGAATAAGTCTTTCCATTTCTAATCTTCCACTAAAATGTAATAACGTTCTCCACATCTTTTTCTGCTGATGTAATCAAGGCCATGCGGATGGGGAAGCTGAACAAAATAGCTGACCATATTTGTGTTTTAAATGTCAATTGCTCTACATTAACTTCTTGTTTGTAGAATTGCTGCATAAAAGCAATATCACAATGTTGTAGTATACCAGCATTTTTGCTCATCTGATACTGATTTAATACCACAACCCACTTTTCATGATTCAGTATAATTCTGGTGGTTAAAATCAAGAAAGAGATGCTGGCATAAAAATTCAAGGGGTGTCAACAGTTCCCTGCAGTAGGACATGCTATCTAAAACTATTTTAATCAAATATTTTCCAATTCATCAATATTTATTATACATGCTGTTTTATGGCTTCATTTTAATTAAGAGATTAAATGGATAATTTGTACTGTTAAAAATGTATTAATCACACTGCAGGACCATTTAAAACAAAGCAATAAAAAGTGTTTGGACAGTTTCTGGTAGGGATGTAACGATTCACTCAACTCATGATTCGATTTGATTCACGATTTTGATTTCACGATTCGATTCGATTCACAATTTTTTTTTTTAACAAAATGAGATTTAAGACAAATTATAAATTAAATGTGTCCTTTTATTATTGCTTGTACAAAATACTGTACGTTTCTTTGTGAAATTGAAATATAACACTATAATAATATACTAATATAGCACTTGCATATTATTGCTCTTTTGTTGGTTTTGATTGCTTCTATTGTCCTCATTTGTTAGTCGCCTTGGATAAAAGCGTTTGCTAAATAACAAAATTTAAATTGAATTTGAATGTAAATAACAAAACTAGATTTTAAATTTTAAACAAGCCCCAAATCAAATAAATAAGTAACACAAATAAAATAAATCTCTTCATATAAACAAACTAAGGCTTTGTCTGTGCTCTTTCCTTTTAAAATTAGAGGCAACCACTGCATTTTAATCATGATCCAAACAAAGATGCTGCATACATGCAACATGAGCAGTTTTTAATCTAAATTACATTGTATAATTTCTAAATTTGAAGCAAAAATAGAATGGTTTTACTTCAGTTTTGTGAAACTATGCATAAATAGAAACATCAAAGGGCAAACGAAACTGAAAGCATAACGAAACAGCGCTGAGAGTATACTCGTCGCATGAGCGCGAAGGTCCGCGCAGCAAAAATGAGGCGCATATTGAGGAAACGATGGATGGTTTTCAGGCAAAGTCAAGTAAAAGACCGCTTCAGAGAAGGTGAACATGCTGGTATTCTTGTGGGGGAAAAAAAACG